TTACCCAGATTCCATCTTGTTGCCTATGGTCTAGCGCATGTACGCACTTGAAGCTAGAAACAATTCGGCAGGTTACTGAATGCGTCACGAGTAGCCACGAGTGGTGCTTGTCATGCTCGTCCCGAGAGGCAGAGCCGCCATCCGAACATGTACGTGCAATCAACGAGCGGATGTTGATGCATTTATTCCTCTGCAGATTGGATTTGCTAGCCTTGCAAACCCCGCGTTTCGAACACTCGGCAAAGTCTGCATCAAGGCCATCGCATTGGGGGCAAACAATCTGGGGTTGAACGCGGCCATAACAGAACCACAGTCCAACCCAGTAGCCATCCATCTCCAGCCCATGCCATGTTCGGACCGCCCCTCCGGTTCGAGGTGTTGATGGGACTTTTCCATTTGGCTTGCCGTGTCGTCCGTATGTACGTGGCTTTATCTCGGAGCGCCCTGCCGCTGCATATCGGCCACGCGCTACAGAGAAGTTGGCACGGCTCGTAATTTTTGTCGCAGCGGCGCTTTGATTTGGCCAATTTACTCCTTTGAGCAATGACGCCCAAGTCGACAAGATTCATATGGCAAGGCCTCCACGGTACGATTCATTTGCGTCTACCGGCAGGAAGCATGGTGCGTTCAAGGTGATATGGCGCTTGTCGAATCCTGCCCTGTGCGACCCGGCGTGCCCTGCAGTCAGAATCAATTGGCATTGGAAGCCCATCCGGAATCATCTTCAGGACGCATCCTGCCAACCACGCACCATCCAGCCTTGCAATTGCGTGAACGCAGCCGGCTCAAGGCAAGCATCGCCAGTACTCTCGCGAAGCCAGCGCCATACACAAACAACTGACGCCTCGGCGGCAGATTGAGGCGTCGGTGGAGAGAACCGGCGGCCTCCTCTCGCACCACACGTGGTCGACCTCTGCACATCCACAGGATCGACGGAGTCCCAAACAAGACGCCAGGTTGCGCCACCGTAAGCTCAAAGATGTGGGAACGGGCGAGATAGCAAGGACCCCCCGGTCGCGCGACAAGGAAAGTCGATGCGATGGGGCCGATGTGGCTGGGAGTTTGGGAGTTGCATCACCGGCCATTTGTCCCGGTTGCGCCTGGTTGAGATTGTATGTACATATTCCAGGTTGACGACGAGACTTCAAACGTCGGTCCAGAGTTGAGTTTCGGCGATGGCGTTCGCGAGGGGATCGAGCCATGGAATGAATTTTGGCCGCGATGCCACCACACTAGTAGCTTGGAGGGAAGTTTATTCTGAATTGAGTGTGGGGGAGCCCGACCGCACGTCAGATTGATCTGGCTGTTTGAACTCGTGTGAGACCTGACCGTCTCACACCTGTCCCGAATCGCCAAATGATATTGATGCGTTGAATGGCGTGACCGGCGGTGGATACAGAAGAAGAGCGAAATGCTGCAAAACGCAGCAAGATTGGGCAGAAAGACATCCTTTATCAGCGAGAGGCAGGCAATTGGCCGTCATGGTGAAGCAAGCGGCTGGCTGGGAAATTTGTTGCTTTATTCTTCTTCTTTTCGTTATGAATGGAACGCGCAGCGTTAAATGCACTGCACCAGATGTTCAATGCTATTCAATGTTGCCAATTCAGTGTTTGCCATCAATCATTGATGTCAAGTGTCAGTACATGTACCCTCGGTGCTCGTACCTGGTAGGCAGCGTCTGATGTACTCAGTACTGTCTGTTGAGCTTGTACGGAGTACCGTCCAGCGCATCGAGCGCATCGAGCCGCTGTCAATGAAACTTCAATGTTGACGCCTCCCGGACAAAGGCGCCGTGGGGGCGTGTTCGGTCCATGTCTCTGGTTCGCTGTTGCCTATCAGCGCATCGCCTTGCTCTTGCTCTTGCTCTTGCTACCAGCACACCCAACTAGGCCAGCCCACTTACTAGACCAGACGGCTAAGCCATTCCTGGCTCCCCATTTTTCTTTTTCTTTTCTTAACGCCTCCCGTGCCCCATCGGCTTCAGATAGTACTAGCTAGCAATGCTATGAAACCAAGCTGCGGCATCCTTCCAAGCTGCCAAAGCATTTCCTTTTTCTTTCATTGCCTCTCCTCCAACATTCTGCCATGATCTTCCCTCTTGGCAGTTCCATGCCGTAACAAGGGCTGCATACTTCGTACATTGCTATTCCGCCTAGGCCGCAGACAGACATTCTGCCACATCGTCCCCATCGGGGCCCTTCGAATCATTGGCCCACTCAACACTCATCTCGTTCAACAACCGTGCCTGCCGTGATACTGCATTTCTTGGCGTTTGCGCGCCAGTGCAACCCAATCCTGCAGCCTACCCACGCACAGAGACACCTCTTGACGCTGTCCTTTTCTTGCCTTGGTAGGCAATACGGAGTACCGCTCCTGCTTGCCGCTCGACCCTGATTGCTTTAAGGTTATTCCATCGACACTCGTCGTGTTCGTACGCCGTTGCCACCGTGCCACCGATAGAAGCCCTAGTGGCTCTCGCCTGGCGATAAAAGGCATCCTGGTACCCGCGCGGCCTATACACCCCTCTGCTTCATCCTTCTCGACGGACCTGAGTCAAGGGCCGATATTTTCCTTCACTTCGTGATCAACCTCTCGCTCGAAATCTACATATCCATCAGATCCGCCGTCAGGGGAGCTTGATGGATCTCGCCAGGGTCCTCCCGAAGCCGACGTCCTTTCGACTAGCCCAGCTGGCTCAAGATGCATACGACCTGCCGTTGAAGGCTTTCAACCAAAATGGCAGCCCAGAGCCGCATCCGTCTCTTGCCTACCTTTGTCTTCTTGTTTTCGAGGCTGTCCTAGAAGTCGTCTGCGTCAGCTTGCCGGGCTACATTATCGCTCGGCTGGGCCATTTCGATGCTGACAAGCAAAAATTCTTGGCGAACTTGAATGTTATGCTGTTCACGCCATGTCTCAGTGCGTATCCAAACTGCATTAGCCCTCTCACGACATGAATCTAACAGCCCACTACTCTAATAGTTTTCACGAAGCTTGCGTCGCAGTTAAACGCTGAAAAATTATCCGAGCTCGCCATCATTCCCGCCATCTTTGTTGTCCAGACCGCCGTGTCATGGATTGTTTCCGCTCTTGTCGTCAGGGTCTTCCGATTCAATAAGCGGGCTTCCAACTTTGTCACTGCCATGGGTGTCTTTGGAAACTCGAATTCACTTCCTATCTCGCTTGTCATGTCCCTTTCACAGACGATCAAGGGTCTCCACTGGGACAGAATACCGGGTGACAATGACGATGAGGTTGCTGCCCGAGGCATCTTGTATCTCTTGATTTTCCAGCAACTCGGCCAGTTGGTGCGCTGGAGCTGGGGATACCACGTTCTGCTGGCTCCCAAGAACAAGTATGCAGAGTACCAAGACGAAATTTCTGAAGCTGGTCAGCAACGGTATCGCGACGAGCCTGTGGAGAACGAAAATGGCCATCTTTCTGACAACCTCGACGGTGATACGATAGAGGAGGATGAGACACAAAGTGTCGACTCCCATGACTACATTCCCGCGGGTCGAACTCCGACTGCTGGTGCGTCGCATGCGTCTGGGACGGAGTCTAGTGATGACGAGGAACTGCTGTCGCCCAAGAAGGCCAAGGCAGGCTATTCAACTTTCCCCAATGGACAGAATGTGGCTGTCAACGGCAACGACAACACCATGTTTGCGTTTCCTCATATCCGAAGTCATGCCGCTAAAGGAAACTGCCTATGGACTAGTGTCAAAGCCTCCATCGACAGTATTATGCTGCGAGCGTACAACGCCATGCCTCGTCCCTTGCGAGTTACTGCGTCGTTCTTGAAGCAAGTCGGTGTCAAAACAGTGATTTTCGTTTGGGAATTCATGAACCCTCCTTTGTGGGCCATGCTTTGTGCTGTTCTTGTTGCCTCTATTCCGTCGCTTCAGAAACTGTTCTTCGAAGAAGGCACTTTTATCAATAACAGTGTCACTAATGCCGTCGTATCAAGCGGGGGAGTTGCTGTGCCATTAATTTTAGTCGTCTTGGGCGCGAACCTGGCGCGAAACACCACAGCTTGCGAAGACAGCCACGACCCTGAAGAGGAGCAGATTGGAACCAAGTTGCTTGTTGCATCGCTTTTGAGTCGCATGGTCCTTCCTACCGCCATCATGGCCCCGATCCTAGCCATCACTGCCAAATATCTCAACGTCAGCATCTTGGACGATCCAATCTTCATCATAGTCTGTTTTCTTCTCACGGGTGCGCCAAGCGCTCTGCAGCTGGCTCAAATTTGCCAAATCAACATGGTTTTCGAAAAGACCATGGGCCGTATCCTGTTCCAGAGCTATGTCATTTGGTGAGTTGCGTTGGAGCTCAAACTTCCATGGTACCGAAGCTAACCATACTGTAGGATTCTTCCGTCTACCTTGGTTCTCGTAATGATGGCGCTCGAAGTCGTGGAGTGGGCGAAGTAGTTTAAGCCGTGCATACACTCTGTTTGGTATCATTTCCACCTTTTTCTTTTGCTTTTTTCCTTCCCTTCCCTCTCTTTGCTTTCCTTTCTCGACGGGTCGGCATTGTTTCTGCCGATTCGTACTTTGACATTTGGTACATTGCATTGGTTGGGTAAATTCTAGGCTTGGGCAGGAGCTTGAATCAATGCCCAGAATCATGGGTATTGATACATTGTTAGCATGGCATCTCATACTCTTCACAGAGCACATGGTAGATGCAAGGATCGGCGTTTTGTATTTGACACTGGGTAGCGCAGGAAAAGAACCTGGTTGTATGATGTAGTGAACAGCCATGACCAAAATTGAGAGGAGGAACGGTTCTTGTGCCCTAGTTCCCTGATTATATATACTGTTGTAGGGGCCACCTAGTAGTCGGCCATGTGCGAAAATCCCGAGGTAAAAAAAAAAAGTCAACGGAAGCGGCAAAGTTGGCAACAAGAAGAAAACGGCGACAGCATCCGGGAGTACAGCAAGAGTAGTAGTAGTAATAGTAGGCAAATCTGTGATATCAAGTCGCAAGTAGTGCAGTTAGGCCCCGTTGATCAAAGACGCATCTGATACCAAAGCCCAGTCCCGGACCGTGCCCTTCCAGTCACTGATTCTGACGTCCTTGATGTCAACAATGATGACCCGTACCTCCTCTCCGGCCACAAAGTGACTTCCACGTCCATCGGCACCCGTGTTGCTGTCCTGCCGGAAAATGGTCTCACCTTCCTCGAAGGTATTGTTGGCGAGATGCTGCTCCGTAAAGTACTTCTCCTCGTCTGAGCCGGACGGGGCCAGGCGGGCGGCTCCTCCTATGGTAGCACTGATGCTGGACATGGCCGAGGAGTTGAGGTTGAGGAGAAGGGAGGCGAGGCTGGAGCGGTGTTCGGGGCCTGGAGAACCGCCAGACATGCGGCGGCCCTGGGTAGGTGGCCGGTGGGAAACCCCTGGTTTTGGAGTGAGTTGGGTGGGCGATGATGGTCCCGGGGGAGGGGGAGGGGGAGGGGCGACTCACAGTCGTGGACGAGGAGAGAGACGCTGGGGTTGGTGATGATGTTGGTCGTCTTGCGTGAGGCTGGGTTGGTGGTCATGATGATGACGGGCACAGAGGAGTACGGCGACGAGGGGAGGTATGTGTAGTTCATGAGCGAGACGTGAGGCACGTTATCTGTGCATGTTGCCAGATGGAGCTTTGGTGGTGAAGAGGGTGTTAGTCGTGGTTGTCATGGAAGCATGAAGATCGGGCTCAGATTGGCGGGGTTAGACGGGCACTCACGAAACGAGCATTTTCCAGGCATTGCACTACTTCTGGGGGTAGTGAGTTGGTGGTTTGCTTGTGAGTGTCGCCTTCGGAGGCTTCGTAGTTGAGTGGAATTTTGTCCATGGTTGTCGGAGCGTGAAGGCTTGGGGAGGACGAGGGCGGTATGTTGGTATACAGTCAGCTCGTGCGGCGTGGTCAGATGCGCGAGGTCATCCGACTTGCTTCGTGCGTCTGCCGGCTGGGCGTTGAGCTGCAAAACGTCTGGTGGGGCGGCTGACCCGGTCTGGGAAGTAGCTCTACTGACAGGCGTGCTTAGTAACGAGAAGACATCGATGGAGTTAAGCTGCTCCCGGAGAGAACCCCAGATTTTCTCAGCCCCGGCAGGTGCGGCAGGTGGGCACCTGAGCCGCAGGACGGACTTGGACTGACGTCGGCCTGCTGGCTGCTTGTTGCTTGGTTTGCCGGCTACATTCGGCTCCCCACGGTCGGATGCGTGTCTTTGCCAGAGCTGGCAAGCCCGTTGAGCCGAACATAACTGGGCGAAAACGTCCATTGCCCGCGAGTTTCTCCATCTCCCTCGAAAAAGTATTCATGGTCGCTCTTGGTTCTGAGGATATCCTGCGCGCCCAATTCTCGAGACAGTCCTCGGTACCACTCCAGCCATGCGTTCCATCAGAACCAACCGCCTCCCATTGAGGCCCCTGCCTCGTTACATGTCCACAGCGTCTTCGTGCGCCCCCAAGACGACCGCCCTCAGCTCGGTGCTCATTGCCAACCGCGGAGAGATTGCCATTCGGATAAACCGCACCGCGGAGCGGATGGGCATCCGCGCCACCACCGTCTATACGGACGTCGATGCGGGTTCGTGGCATGCCTCGACCGGATACCAGTCCCTGGGGCTTGGCCCAGCCAGCGGCTACCTCGACGGAGACAAGATCATTGCGTTGGCCAAGAAGCACGGGATCCAGGCGCTGCATCCCGGATATGGTTTCCTGTCGGAGAATTCTCAGTTCGCCGAGAAGTGTGAACGGGAAGGCATTGTCTTTGTCGGGCCGCCCGCAACGGCCATGGCTGACATGGGCAACAAGGCGAGGAGCAAGGAGATCATGACGGCTGCCAACGTGCCCTGCGTTCCCGGCTACCACGGCCCAGAGCAGGGAGAGCAGGAGCTGCTTCAGTATGCCAAGGACATCACGTTCCCCGTCTTATTAAAGAGTGTGCGTGGCGGCGGTGGCAAGGGCATGCGAATTGTCATGACAGAGGACGAGTTCATGACCCAGCTGAAGAGCGCCCGTGCCGAGGCTCGCGCCTCGTTTGGCGAAGGCGGCGAGGTGATGCTGGTCGAGAAGTACATCGTGCGGCCGCGCCACGTCGAGGTCCAGGTGTTCGCCGACAAGCACGGCAACACGGCTGCTCTCGGCGAGCGAGACTGCAGTGTTCAGCGACGACACCAAAAGGTCCTTGAGGAGTCTCCCGCCCCCGATCTGGACGAGGCTACGAGACAGGACCTGTGGGACAAGGCTCGCAAGGCCGCTTCCGCCGTGGGCTACGTGGGCGCCGGCACGGTCGAGTTCATCCTCGACAAGGACAGCGGCAAGTTCTACTTCATGGAGATGAACACCAGGTTGCAGGTCGAGCACCCCGTCACCGAAATGGTCACGGGCCTGGACCTTGTGGAGTGGCAGTTCCGCATCGCCGCCGGCGAGGAGCTGCCTCTGAAGCAGGCCCAGGTGGAGGAGCAGATGAAGAAGCTCGGCGCGGCCATCGAAGCCCGCATCTACGCCGAGAACCCCGAGAAGGGGTTCATGCCCGACTCCGGCAAGCTTGTCCACGCCGTGCTTCCCGAGTCCGTCCAGGCCGACCCGGACGTCCGGCTAGACTGGGGCTTCGGCTCCGGCAGCACCGTGTCAGAGGCCTACGACGGCATGATTGCCAAGCTGATTGTGCGCGGAGAGAACCGCGAGCAGGCCATTGCCAAGCTGGCGGCCGCTCTGCGCGCCTTTGAAATCGTCGGCGTCAGCACCAACGTCGAGTTCCTCAAGCGCCTGTGCTACTCGCCCGCCTTCATCGAGGGCGATGTCGAGACCGGCTTCATCGACAAGTGGCGCGACGAGCTCTTCAAGCCCAGGCACATCGGCGACGAGGTCTTTGCCCAGGCCGCCTTGGGCGTCCTGAGTCTGCAACTCAACGGCGCCGAGCCCCACGGCCAGACCCTCGGCTTCGGCGATGCCAGCGCATCCAGCGAGCGCAAGCTGGCTTTCAAGGTCCTCGACGGGTACAGCGAGAAGGAGGGCGAGATTGTCGAGGCGGCCGTCACCCAGACCGGACACAACCTGTACAATGTCACCGTCTCGCGAAAGGGACAAGAGGCCCCCGCTGTCTTTAACAACGTTGCCTCCGAACATACTCCCGAGGGCGCCGTCATGAAGCTGCAGACGTACTTCCCTGCCGAGAGAATACTGTCCTCTGTTGTCCCGCAGACGCAGGACAACGACACCAAAATTACCGTGTTCCAGCATGGTGTGAAGACTGATCTTTCTTTGTTGCCGCCTTCGTGGTATGAGAAGGCGCTGGGTCTGAAGGAAATTGCCGCCTCGGTGGTTGCTCCGATGCCCTGCAAAATTTTGAAGAATGAAGTCGTCGAGGGTCAAGAGGTCAAGAAGGGAACACCTCTTGTAGTGTGAGTCCACCGCGCACCATCTCTCATTTCTACGTCCAAGTTTTTACTAATTTCTTTTTAATTTTCTTTTCTTTTCACAGTATTGAGTCAATGAAAATGGAGACGGTGATCCGATCGCCGCAGGACGGCGTAGTCAAGAAGCTAGCCCATAAAGAGGGTGTAAGTTATTTTCCATCAAGATTCCAAGACACGGCAGGCTAAGTTTTTTTTTTTTTTTTTCAAATAGGATATTTGCAAAGCAGGCACAATTTTGGTATTGTTTGAGGAAGATCCAGCCAAGGGGGAAGCATAAGCAAAATTTCATAAGAGGCGTTTCAGGACACGAATCAAGATGCTGGGCGGCAATGTATTGACTATATATATAAACGATGACACATGTTAGATGATGATGGCCGTTCTGATGCATTGTACACAAATTTCTGTAGCTGTTTCTTCCTGGAAAGCGCTGTGGTTGTTGCGTCGAGTTGTCTGCTGGGTGACTACCTCGTCCTCATCCTCTTGTAGTCGTCGGGAAGATGCCTGCTCAACTTGCTCTTCCTCGCTGCCTTTCTAATCCGAACCCACCACTCCTCAAGGCGTTTCACGTATCTCGGATCAGACGGGGGTATGTATTCCGTAAATCGTTTGATGAGATTCTGCGTCTTTGTTAGCCCCCCCCTGCACCTGCACATACACAAAGAATGAAAGATGAAAGGGAGGAGGATGAAGTGGGTGCACCAACCTCCTTGGTGGCCAACGTGATGAAGCCCAGGACAAAGGCAACCCATGCAAGGGTTCCCTTTGTGCCGAGAAACTGGTTTCCGCCTCTGAATTCCACGGTACCCGTACATCGCCCCGTCTTGGGGTGCGGGAAGATGTTCTGGAAGTTCCAAAGGACGTATCGGTTGCCCTGCATGTACATGTAGATGTCGGTCTCGCTCCGCAATGCTTTGATCTCGGAGGCGACCTGTTTGAGGCTCGAGGTAGACTTGCCCCAGGCCAGCGTCTCGCACACGCCCGATCCGGAGCTCTGGCTGTTCAGCTTGCAGTACTGGTTCTCGCGCCGGGCCGGGGGAAGCATGGACCACATGAAGTCCTCGTAGGCGATTGACGCAAAGGCGATCTGCTTGAGGGTGCGCAGCTTAAACTTGTTCTTGCGGCTGACGGGCGTGACGTGGACGTGGCCGCCACAGGACTGGTCCTTTTGCGGGTTGAAGTGCACGCGCATGGCTTCCCAGAAGTCGCTGAGGATACGGGTGAGGTGAAGGGTCGTGTCGAGACGGGGCGACACGACTTCCATGCAGACTACTTGGAGAGTCAGTATATTGTATGGGGGAAGTCGGTGTTTGGGTGTCTGTTGAGACGAACCGTATGGGCGAGGACGTTTGAGTGATCCGTCGCGGGTGACGAACCATTTGCCGCCGTAGTACTCGGGATGCTTGCTGTATCTCGAACAGTCATCGTGGACGGCTTCGATGCCTCGATTTTGTAGTTTCTGGGCCAGCTGTCGGTACCAGTCGACGTTTGTGAAGCTTTCGCCGCCGCCGTAGGGCTTTCCTATGGATTCAATCTCGACGCCGAAGTTGTAGTGTCTCATGGCGACTGATAGACGTGACGCAGGTGGCAATGGATAGGGTACGTTCCGGTGCAGGAGTAGAGTGAGTTTGACACTGTTGGAAGATGCGGACTTGGAATTATATAGAGAACATGCACATTTGAAGCCTGTTGAACAGTCGACATTGGTCACCTGAGCATGCGTATCACAGTCTCTGAATGGGACGAACTGCCCTCCTCTTGTCTTCTCTGGACGAACAGTTAATACGGGACAAAGCCCACAGGCTCAAACATAGGCACGCAGTCTGGTATCTGGTAAAGGAACACACAGCAGACACAGGTAAGCCTCACACGTATTGTTTCTGAACTCGGTACCTTATACGGGCAACAGTACCCAACACAGATGCAAAAGAGGCCCAATTACAAAGCCAGAGGATGAAGGGGCAAAAAAAAAAAAAAGGAAAATCGAACAAAAACCTGAACTGATGTCGTTGATTCGTGTCACCCCAACGGAGTATTGTCCCGATGTCGATGAAAACAAGCATCGATGTCTCAACCACCACACGAAGTTGCCCAATTGCTCGCGTCACGCGAGGCTTCCTCGTGCAGGGTTGGAGGTTATATGTGGCGTGGGCGGTAGAGGTTCGGTTGGACGAGAAACGTGTGGAACTTTGACCCGTCACAGCCTCATTATGCGAGGCACAAATTCTTTTGTCCGACGTCTTTGGATTCGCCGCCGTTGAAATATGAGCAGACGAGTCACCCGAACGTGTGAAGCTTCGATTGGCGGTGTCCAAAGACGGTCAGCAACTCGCGGCCAAGCAGCATGTTGCTGCCCAACATATGCACAACAGATCCACCGCCATGACTCCGGTTTGCTCGACGACCCCAAGCATGGAGCAGTGCCAGGTTTAAAAGTGACCTGCTATTGAGCAGAATGAGGCACTTTTCTCTCCCTCCTCAGCTTCTGGCCAGTGGATTTCCCCTCTTTCGCTCCGTCGCTTGCCCGCCGCCTGACCACTTTTTTCCGGCATTGGAGGGAGGAGGAGTACTTGATCGAAACGAAGCAAGCCAGCCATGGGCGAAGCAGAGGCAGCTCACGAGCCGTCGGGTGACCCTCGACATGCCAAGTATTATTTTGCTTACGGCAGCAACCTACACATGAAGCAGATGCAGCGCAGATGTCCCAAGAGCAAGTACGTCGGCTTTGGGCGGCTACCCAACTTCCGATGGCAAATCAACGAGCGCGGGTATGCCAACGTCGTATACGCAGAGGGGCACTGGGTCGATGGTCTGGTGTACGAGATTGAGGAGACGGATGAGGAGAAGCTCGACATCAG